GTCAAAACAATGAGATACCACTTCACCCCTTTTACAATGGTCAAAATCTAGAACACTGACACCAGGTGCTGGTAAGAAACTCTCACTCATTGCTGGTGGGAATACAAACTGGTACAGCCACTTTGGAAGACAGTCTGGCAGTTTCTCCTAAAACTCAACATATTCTTACTATATGATCTAGCAAACATGCTCCTTGGCATTTACCCAAAGAGGTTGAAAAAATCACATCCTCACAAAAACCTTCACGTCAATGTGTATCGCAGCTTTACTCATAATTGCCCAAACTTGGAAATAACCAAGATGTCCTTTGGGAGGTGCGTGGATAAATCAACTGTGACACATCCAGACAATGAAATATTTTCAGAGCTAAAAAGAAATGACCTATCAAGCCATAAAAAGACATGAAGGAACCTTAAATTCCTATTACTGAATGAAAGAAGCCAATCTGAAAAGGCAACATACTGTGTGATTCCAGCCATATGGCATTCTGGAGAAAAGCCAAACTATGAAGATAATAAAAAGATTAGTAGTTACCAGGGGTTGTGTGGAGAGGAAGATGAATTCATGAAGCATGGGGGATTTTTTTTTTTAGGACAGTGAAACTATTTTGTATGATCCTATAATGGTGGATACATGGCATTATATAGCTATCCAAGGCCATAGAATGTATGACACCAAGAGTGAACCCTAGTGAAAACTATGCACTTTGGGTGATAATGATGTGTCCTGTAGGTTCCACAATTGTAACAAATGTGCCACTCTTGTGAGGGGATGTTGATAATGGGCAGAGGGTTATGCATGTGTGGAAGAAGAGGCTATATAAGAAATCTCTGTACCTTCCTCTTATACTATGAACCTAAAGTACCTTCCTCTTATACTATGAACCTAAAGCTGCTCTAAAAAAATAAATATTAAGATAATCAATAAAGGAACTAGCTCTAATATTTATTAACTATGTGTCTAAGCTCAACAAGCTTAGACAAGTTGGCTTATCTAAGTATTAATAAAATAAAACTTCTAATACTTCACAGGGTTTTTATTTTCTAACAGGAAAAAATAAATGAAAAAAATTAAAATATACACTTTAATATAATCAGTCCTCAGTATAAGGAATTTAAATTAGAAAAAGTAAATCATTTGGAGTGTGCTTAGGACATTATATTTGCATATTATTTTACAGATTTATTTCTTTGTTATTTCTCCCCATTATTAAAATAAGCATCATAATTCACTACAATATAAAATTGTATTTTAAAAAAGACATTTAAATCTCACAAATTAAGAAAATTCCAACTAATTGGGTGTAAAGACTTGTTCAGATCATTTGAAATAAATGAGGTCCAGGTAAAATACATAAAACCTACTGTCACTCAAGAATTACATGCTTTATGTCCATGCAAATAGGAAGCAATATACCAAAGTGCAGAGTCACTAATAAAATGGCCCATGTAAGTAACATAGAGAAGTTATGGGAAATGAGGTTTCACAATGCTCTTTTTTGTTTTCTAAATATATATTTCAGAGAGGAAGGGAGAGAGAAACATCAGTGATGAGAGAGAATCATTGATCAGCTGCCTCCTGCACACCCCTACCCTGGGGATTGAGCCCACGACCTGAGCATTTGCCCTGACCGGGAATCGAACCATAACCTCCTGGTCCATAGGTTGATGCTCAACCACTGAGCCACGCTGGTCAGGCCACAATGCTCTTTTAAAGCTGTATTCTTTCTGCAGAGAATCCCTTTGCATAGTAACCATGTAAGAATAACTCTTACTTCCAAAGGAATGATATTCTCTCCCATTTTTGTAAGTACCATAAAGCTTTCACTTTCCCATTTTTGATAGAAGCATCGGTGCAAGATAGTTCACTTTCTTCTTAATTTTGCAAGAAGTGTACATGAGGTGAAACTGACAGCCTTTTTGTCTGAGAAACATGAGAGAGAGGTGAGGTGATGGCACAGTAGAGAATAAATGCCCCTCTAAAGAGGACCCTGCTCTAACCAGTGGTTGCTATGCAACAAGTTTGAGAGTCATTGTTGATAGAATGTCTGATTCCACATGAAGCCACAAATCCATATTTTAGGCATTTTTTTTCTAATTTTAAAAATAAGCAACTAATTCAAAAACGTGTAAACACAGTAGGTCAGATTAAACCTTCAGCTTGCTGATTTGCAGTCTCTGGAATAGATCGTGCTCTAGACTCAGAGATTTTGAGTCAGAATCTGTGTGTTAATCTTACCTTTACAACTTAAGAAACAGTAAAAACTTGGGCAAGCATTTCATTTCACTAATTTAAAAAGTTGCCGTAATAATGTCTTCATCGAGTTGATGATTTTTCTTAAGACTTTATGTAAAAATTTTCAAGCACAAATAAAAGTTTGAAGACTTTTACTACAATGCACAACGTAGATTCCACTATGAACATGTTACTACACTTGCTGTGCAGGTTACCTATCCATCTATCAATCAACCATCCATCTTTCTTTTGGATCAGTTTCAAAGCAGTTGCAGACATCAGTGTACCTCCTTTCAATGACTGCTTTGAGAAATAAATGGGATGATGCACAGAAAGCATCAAGCACAATGTCTAGGACATGGATAAACATTAGAGTCATATTAGCCCCCTTCTCTATATCTATGTTTACTATGTATAGCTTGAATCTCATTGGATCCACTAAGAGTGTTTTTATACTCGGGAAAAGGGAGACAGTAACTCTTCATCAAAACCTTGTTGACCTCTATCTTCAAATTGTGTTCAGATTCAGACTTCTGGCTCCAGCCAAAATAGAGTATTCCCATACCTTTCTAATTCTCCCTCTTAATTAAAAATAAAATTAGCCCAGCTCAGTGGTTGAGCATCGACCTATGAACCAGTAGGTCATGGTTCCATTCCTGGTCAGGGCACATGCCCAGGTTGTGGGCTTGATCCCCAGTTGGGGGCATACAGGAGGCAGCCGATCAATGATTCTCTCTCATCATTGATGTTTCTATCTCTCCCTCTCTGAAATCAATAAAAATATATTTTTAAAAAACAAATAATTTTTTTAAAAATAGAAGAAGAGCCTGCTCCTATACCAAAAGCCTGGGGCAAGGGTAGGCTAATAGAACAGGGAAACTTTTGATAATAGTAGCCCCAACTCCAGCCAAACACCAAAGGGAAAAGTATCCCCTCACCCTTCCAGTACTAGTACACTATACAGTAGCTAGAGTTCTGACCCCACCAGGGACAGCCTGGGGAGGCAGTTATGATCCCCTCCACTGGATGGTGTCAGGGGGCCAAACAGAGCTGGACTTGCACCCCCATCAGGCAGCAGAGAGGCAGAACTAGGTGATGTGAAGGTATTCCTGGATGAGATTAACATCTGAATTAGTATATGGACTGAAGCAGATTGTCCTGTCTAATTTGGGTGACCCCAACCCCATAGAGGGCCTGAATAGAACAAAAAAGTATAGTAAGAAAAAAATGTTCTCTTTCTCTTTCTCACTGTCTTTGAGCTGGGACTTTGCTCTCCTGACTTCAGAATCCTACTTGAACTGAAACTTCCACTATCAGCTCCCTTGGAGCTCCAGCTTGGAACCTGCAGATCCTGGGACTTCTCTGCATCCATGACTGCATGAGCCAATTCCTCGTAATAAAATCCCTTATATCTCCTATTGGTTCTGTTTCTCTGGAAAACCCTAACTCATGCAGTCCTACTAACCACAAGAAATGGAAGAAGTTGGATTCTGCCAAAAGCCTGAATGATATAGAGGTGGATTTCCACCCCCCCCCTCCCCCCCGCAAGCTTCCCAACAGAGCTTGGCCTGGCTGATACATTGATTTTAGCCTTGTGAAATTCCAAACAGGTGACTTAGACAAGCAATCAGATTTCTGACCTACAGGGCTCATTCAGTAGGCAGCCAATCAATGTGTTTCTCTCACATTGATGTTTCTTTCTGTCTTTCCCTCTCTCTTTCACTCTCCCTAAAAATCACTGGAAAAATAGCCTCTGGTGAGGAGTAACAGAAAACCCCAAAAATGACAAAAGGCACATTGGTCAAATCTAAGGCTTGCAGAATACATTTCTTAAAACTACTTACATAGAGAATAGAACTAGATGCCTTCTATGATCCCTTGCAATCTTATATTCCATAATTTTCTGGCCTCTCCACAATCTCAGTGAACTGTTGACTCAAAATATGATCTTTTATCGTTTTATTGATGACCTCAAATCTGGATCTAAGGACCCAAATCCTATCCTTTGTGTCCAACTGCTTCCAAACATCTCCACGTGGATGTGCCAACATTATCTGAAACTGAAACTTGTAAAAATCACATTCATTCTGGGCTTCACTACCTTTCCCCTTTTGTGATTTATTTAGATAATCTTACTCCCCTCCTCCTCCAATGCCTGGGTCCTTGTCTGGGCCCACTATTTCTCTTTCCTACTTTCTTTTCATGTTGTCTTTTTTTCATGATTGCCGCTATCACCATTGTTTAGGCTGTCACTTCCTGGGACCTGGATCATTTGGTCAACATCCTAACTGATTTTTCTGCCTCCCATCATAATTATTCCTGGTACCTCAAAGTCTCCCAATGAGTCCTTACTACCTACAGAGTAAATTTTAATTAACTCTGTAAGACCTTTCATGTCTGGCCTAGTCAATCTAGTTTCTTGCTCCCCAAGTTTTCCCTCTCTTTTTGGATACATCCATCCTACCGAGTGCTATTTGGTGCTCAATATAAAAACAGATGTTTTAAACGATGCTAAAGTGGAAGTAAGGCTAGTTTAGGGAAATGTTTTGGAATTAAGAAATGGCTTTGCATGGTATTTTGGCACTTATTTCAGTGAGGAATTCAGTACTTTCCCTGATAGTAACATCTTTCTTGATATGAAGATCTATCTTACTTTGGGAAATGAAGTAAGTGAATTGCTGGTATCTCATATCCCAGTGAAAGTAAAAGCCATTTAAGTCTTGATTGGGTCACCTCTGAGCTGTGTTCTCTGCTTGTTTCTGCAGGGAGCCCCGCAAGGTGGTGCTGCACAAAGGCTCCACTGGCCTGGGCTTCAACATTGTGGGCGGGGAAGACGGAGAAGGTATTTTTGTGTCCTTCATTCTGGCCGGTGGACCAGCAGACCTGAGTGGAGAGCTCCAGAGAGGAGACCAGATCCTATCCGTGAGTATTTCTCCTTAATCTTCATTCCCATCATTCAAGAAAAAAAAAATGACTTTCAGTTATGACTCCAAAAGCACCTTAATTACAAAAGAAAAATGATGAGAGCATTACGGCTTCAGGTACATGTTACAGTTTAAATGGTGTTCAGGTGCTTGATGCTTGTTTCTTCCTTCGATACATGTAAAGGGGCTAGTGTTTTTATTTAGATTTTCTTAGAATATGTGCATCCAACTGAACATTGAGAAACATGCCTCTTTAAGGTATATTACTTATATTTTTAAATGCTTTTTTTTTTTTTTTACAAATCCAGGATTCTGTTCTAAAAACTACACCTTTACAATATGTATAGTTCTGCATATAACTATGTAAGAAAATGTGTACCATAATGCTATCCACAATTTGGTGACATTGATAAGTGGTAGCAGCATCATCATTTACCTAAATGCAAGAATTACCAACAACAAGTTATTGAGCACTCATTATTTCCCAAGAATGTTATAAAAGTAATTTTTAATTCTCACAATTACCCTGAAAGGTATTGCCCTATGTTCATATGAAGAGAATACGGTTAAATAACTTGTCAAACTTTATGTAACTTGAGTCAAGGGTTTAAACATTCAGTTTTAATACCCATTACATCTTCCCTCTCTCCTTTGCTACTTTCTTTAGTTCTTTTCTTCCTCTTCCCTTTCTTCCTCCTTTCTTCTCCACGTCCTTTCTTTTACTCAAATATGTAATGACTGCTTCTTTCCACTACATTAAACTATCTCCCTGGTACAAACTTTACGATAGGTAGTTAAATCCATTGTGAGTATTCATGTCTACACTGAAATGTTGGTACTCATCAAATAATAATGGGGAATTGCACAAGGAGCCTACTTCTTATGACTGAGGTTATGGGTTCATAACTCAGTGAAGCACTTAGTATGGTTTTTTATCATATACTTAGAAAAATTTGCTTTTGTTTTGTAGTTATAACTTATAGCTAGAATTTTCCAAGCAACCTTATATTTGTTAGCCTTATTCCATCCTCCCCCCGCTAAACACACACATGATTTACCTATATAACATAGTCAGCTGACCTGAGCAAAGTGTTCAGTGATCTTGCCTTATGTGTCATATGGTTCTCCCACACATGTGTGCCTTTGCTCAGTCATCAGCTAGCAGGAGTCTGGGAGGATTGAGTATGGAAGGAATAAGGAAAGGCCCAAACCTTGTTCTGTCATCTGAGAACTGAACATCACCCCTTCAACTACTTCCCCCATCTACTTCTTCTATACTTAAATGATATATAAGATATAATGATAAGGTTTAATATACACTATTAAACCTTACTGCCTATATTTATTTACATCTTTCTTTCTGTGCTAAGTGGAAAAAGCTCCCTGAAAACAAATTCTCTGTCTTATATGGTTTTGTATCCTTGACATTTAGCAAAGTGTCTAGTGCTTAGCAGTCTCTCAAAAAATGTTTATTGAATGAAAAAGTTTTGAATAAATATGATGATGCTTTAAAAAGTCACTGTAGCCTGAGAGATGGACTCTAAAATTCTATCTAGAACATACTAATGTAGCCTCATCTTCCTGGCTCAAAACCTGTAGAATGAGAATCCACTTATGCTTTTATTACAATCAGCATTCACATCGTCATAAAGTGCTCCCAGATACAAAGCATTTTCACATGCATTAATTTGGAGGATTTTCAAAGAAATTCTAAGGATCAAGACAGGTTATTGTTACTCTTACTTTCCACAACAGGGAAAGGGGACTCAGAAAGGCTACATGATTTGTTCAAAGCTCCGGAGCTACTGAATGTGATGTTGAACTCAAAATCAGGTCTTCTGATCCCAAATCAGTGTTTTTTTTCTCCCCACAACACCATCTCTTTTCAAGACCCATCAATGGTCTCATTCAGCCCTTCATAGTACACACTGCTCTGTGTACACACCACACCCAGGAGTGCACAGAACTAGAAAGAGCTAATATTTATGTGGTACTTTTGAGTCAGTCACTATTATAACTAATTTAACTTTATAACAAAAAGCCCTATGTCTTTATATGCTCTTTTTAATAATGAAGAAAACTGAGGCATAGAGATGACACTAGACTACTTAACTCTGTTTAAATGAGAAATCCCCTAAGCTGCAGATTTTATTCATTTTAATCTCTATTCCAGTGGTAGAAAAAAGGACAAGCTAATAATCTTCTTATGGCTCATTAAAGAAAACTCACAAGTAATTCTTCTTTCAAAAGTAGTTGTACCCATTTAAATAGTATTGCAAGGACCACATAGTAAATAAGGCAACTAATTGGAATTATATAGTCTTTTTAGAGATTACAGTTCACAGAAAAAAACAATCTCTGAAGTTAAGATCTATCTTCTTATATGTACAACATTGGTAAGAAATAATTCAATGATGAGCCTGTTACTTGCTTTTTTGTATGTGGAAAGGAAGAGGGGACAGTTCTCCTTTTTAATTTTGTGACAATTATTTAAACTGTGGCTAGACAGTAGCTAGTTTCAAGGCTCGGTATTGGAATTTCATTGGTTAACACTCTGAGAAAAGAATAAACAGGCTTGAGAGCTCAAACATCACAATATGAAAACAAAACTGTCAGAATAGAGTGATTAACAATGAAATGTGTAGGAAGGATATTCTGCATCTACTGCTTACACTGGACATATCAGGACAAGATATGCCTTCCTGGAAAATACAGGAACAAAAACTATGAATAGTAATCAAGTTAAATAAAAATGCAATACATATTACTAGGTCATATAAGGTTAATTGCAAACAAGTTATGCTAACAGTCATGTAGTATAGAGAAGAAAAATAGAATCCCCAGGGAAGAGAACTGGCAGGTAGGTCTCTACTCTCAATTAGTCTTTATGGAGAAGAGACTTCTATAATAGGCAATTACCTTTCTGATCAGGAGCATAATGTCCATACCTATTTTCCAGAAGTATTTTCCCGCACAAATTATAGAATCTAGTTTATTTATTTTACTAATGGCTTAACTATGTGCCAGGTTCTGTACCAGGTCTTAAAATCTCAAAAGTGAATGAGATAAATATCCTCAAAATGTTCACAGCCTAAAAGCCGATATATCAATATAGCTAATATGTACATGAGTACAGAGATAGAGATAGAGATAGAGATAGAGATAGAGATGATAGAGATAGAGAGATGATTAGATATAGATAGATAGAGATAGAGATAGAGATAGAGATAGAGATAGACAGATGTGGATATAGCATACTGAGGAAAGAGAGGAGATAAAACACTTAGAATAGAGCATGTCATATTTCTACTAACAACTCTGCATTAAGAATGGGCCGGATGCTTTTTAAAGAGTGTCAGGTAACCTTGCATAAGGAAGACCTCTTTAGGTAGTTTGAGCCATTCCTTCTTTGGGACAGGGCTTGGACTAGATCAGCATTTCCCAAAGTATGAAGCAGCAGGATTGCATTAGGGTGCCATTAAGAGAAAGGGTACCCGGGTACCAAGTTTCTTCACTGAAAAACTTCTCAATTACATGTTACCAGTGTTCATTGGGAATCTCCTTAGAGGCAGATAAAGTATATGATTCCTCCCAAACAGATGTGACCACCAAACTCTCCATAAGGAGCACCTCACAGGACACCAGCAGTGGGAAATGTTTTATTTTTATAGCTCCCCTGACTGACTGTTTTCCTACAAGGTAGTCAGCATACTTGCCTCTCAAGAAAAGGCAATCGGCTTTCTACTCTGTGTTAAGATTATGGGTGCCATCTAGTGTTCATGTATGGTCGAAGAGGGAGGTTCTACACTCCCTTGTAGAGATTTATTCCCCCATGCTCCCTCCCACCAGAGCTAAGGAACTAAAGTAGCTAAGATGCTGAGAGATAAATAAATCATCACCGGAGGCTACTACATCCCATGCACATATTGTGAGTGATCTTTTCTGTCTAAATTCTCCTTTGTGTATTCTGAGTCTCAGGGGTTTGTTGTAGAAAGCCTACTCCAATCATTGAACCTTTTCCATTCATGAAGGGGAATTTAGAGCATTCAGCGTGCAGTCACGTTGACTGTTAACTAGTGCAGTTGTCTCCTCTGGCTTTCTTCCTGCAGAGGGAAAGATAGAAAAGCTTCTGTTATTATTTGTTTCAGTGCTTTGATATGAAAAAAAAAAATGTGGAGCAGGGCACATAGAGGTAATACCCCTGTGAAGAGATTCTTCCCTGTCTCACCAAGCGATTTTAGTTTATTCATCCCTTGGGGATCCAAAAATGCCCACCCTGGCTGACCTTGCTGCTCCAAAGCTCCCTTTGGATGGACTGGAAGTATTTAACTAACCTGATTGGGAATGTGTGTTGTCAGGAGGGAAATGCTACAGCTGTTTAGCTGAAGGAACAATAGGTAATTGTGAATTTTTAAGTTGCAATTGGAATTACAGTGTGGACTTAGAGAGAGTGACAATGCATCCCAGCTGAACTGGGTGCTTGATTAATTCTCAGAGTACCTACTATCTTCATGTTTAGAGCCATGCAGTGGCTTTATATTTGCCAGATCCTTACTGGCAAGTTATTTAAATAAAATTGAGTACTGTGTACACGGTTCACCATCCTGGGGCACTGATTCAGTCACCCTTATATTGTTATCTCAAATGACAATTCTAAATCCTTTCTAGCATTATGCCTGAAACCCCCGTGCAGTGGTCTTTTTACCCAGCCCTTCCAGGGACCGCTACACACAGGCCATGTCCTTCCTCTCTAGCCCTGGCCCCACCCCCTCGAAGGAGCCTTGCTTTATCGTTTTCAGTGTTTGAGGGTTTCTGCCTAAGGGGCTGTTTCCCGGTGTTTCTGAAGCCATCACACCCTGACACACGACAGAGGCTTCTGAGGCCCCTGTAGAGACAGGGACAACAGCATCTCCCCGCTCTATGCTGCTCTGTCACCTCATTTCCAAAAGCACAAAAACTTCAACTGGAAGTCTCACCTAAGCAGCTCCTTTAGCTTCT